GTATCATTAAAAAAAAAAACAAAGCGTGCTCTTATCATGCAGGTTTAGATATTGCAGGTTCTGTACACCTTGATATTTCTCAACAAAAAAAAACGGAAATAACACAAAACAAAAAACAAAACCCAACATTTCCGCTGGGAAAACGGGATATTTCTGCAGTTAGCCCCCCAAAAAAGGGATATGAGAAATCCGTTGAAATTGCAACGGGTCTTGCACAAGGGTACGACTTTTTTTTTTTAGTGTGTGTGTATCATAATTTTCTTTTTTGGTGTGTATCATAAAAAAAAAACAAAACAAAGCGCGCTCTTATCATGCGGGAGTGTGGGAAGCCCCTTGATAAGTCCTGGCGCGCAGCCAGGCCAAACGCGTCGGGGAATATGTGCGCGTTGAGCTCGTAGTCCGTGAAGGTGCTCCCTTGCATATCCTTGTGACATGGACGCATCGCGATTGGCCTCGCTATTTCAATTCTTCTTCTTCTTCTTTTCTTTTTTTTTTTTCTTTTTTTTTTCCTTTTTAAACATATATATCCGATTAGGACGCTCCACTGCTTGAGTTGATAGGACTATCCTGAAGCAGAGGCCTTCCCATTTCTGATGGCGACGTCGCCTGCTCTCTACCAATGCACAGGAACCATCAGAAAAAGAAATAACCGCTCGATTTGAAATTGCTGGTGATCTAAAAAAAAAAAAAAAAACGGTGATCACTAGGCCAAGGAGCGTCGTTCAACCAATGGGTCGGAGCCAAAAAAAAAAAAAAAAAAAACTCTGAATTTGAAAAAAGAAAGGAGCGTCGTTCAATGTGATGAACGCTGTAAACCCTAGAATGTCTTAGACTAGACGAAGTATTATACTATTATTATTATTCGGCATTATCGATGCTCGTACTGAAGCCATGTCCTACTAGCTCGGATTCGTCATTTCTGAACGTTGATCTCTGCAATCTACGGTCATAAGTGAAGGATACAGGTAAGTATTAGTATTCGGCATTATCGATGCTCGGCCTGGTTGGTGCTAAAGCCTGCTCCTGATCACTAGGCCAGGGTGCTATGACACAAACACACACACCCACACCCACACCCACACCCACACCCACACACACACACACACGCACACACGCGCACACACGCACACACGCACAGACACACACATGTTTTATGGTGATTGGTCAATACATATGTACATATTTATCGTCATTCTGTCATGCAAATGTATTAGAATAGACACATATAATGACATATTCACGTACGTACATATCTGGATAGCGGAGAACTTACGTGCGCAGGACAAAATGGCTGACGTATGCGGCAGCCGCGGTTGGATTGGCATCGCTGCGGCCATCCTTGATTCCCTTGAGTACCTTGAGCTGCGCCAGATGCAGCAAAACATGCTCGCTAGTGGCCGCTTTGTTCCATTGAAGGATCAAGTTGTCCGCAGGTCCATCGTCGAAGTACGCGGCGGACGCGGACGCGGACGGGACCAAGGAACAAAGCAGGAGGGCCGCGAGGACACCCAGTTGAACTCGGAGCCAAGAGGTGGAATACGAGGAGGAGAAGGAGAAGGAGAAGGAGGAGGAGGAGGAGGAGGAGGAGGAAAGCATCGCCATGATGGCGCTGCCCTGTCCCCTACTGCAGGAAGAGCCACCAGCTTGCTTGTTCGTCTGCTTGCTGGATTGCTTGCTTCAAAGCTGGCCTCGGAGGCTTTTAGGGGGGCGAGGACATCCTTTATTGATGGAACGACAGAGTTTTTTTTTTTTTTTTTTTTTCTCGGAAGGGATGCGAGACATCACACGTCGTGTAAAAAAAAAAAAAAAAAAAAAAATTCTCACTTGAGACGATACCCCTTGAGGAGATGATAAGAGGATCATCCTGACGTGGTCCCTGTGTTGGAGGATGACTGTGTTGGAGGCTCCACTCATCGTTTCATAAAACCAACTAGAATCTTATAGAGAGAAGATTAGCGTAACCCCCCGGGCCAGGACCCCCTAGCGTCGGTATAAAACCGTCGTGTGCCCTTCGGGACATCCGTTAAAATTGGAACGATACAGAGAACATTGATTAGCATTGGCGCAAGGATGACACGCAGAAATCGAGAAAGCGTCCACCAAAAAAAAAAAAAACAAAAAAAAAAAACGTCGTGCCAAGGTTTTCAATCACGTGGGCACAGCGTGGCCACATGCCATCTATGGAGATGGGAATCGTATGGGTTTCCAAATTTTGAAGAGATTCATAAAAAATGAAAACGTTTTGGCTGTGTAGTAGTGTGTACCCTATGGAAATCACTGTAGGAGCGTCTGCAAAACACCCCCTACCCGAGGTAGGGCGTGTTTTCCAGACTATTCTACTGTAACAGTGAATCGTGTGCACAAAAAGAATGTCAAAAAAAAAAAAAAAAAAAAAAAAAAAAAAAAAAGGAAGTTTTAAAATCTTCTATTGTTAAAAAAAAAAAAAAAAAAAAAAAAAAAACTCTTCTACAGTGAATAGTGTGCACAAAAAGGACTCGCAGTCAAAAAGAAAACAAAGGGCCTCGTTAGACACTCCTTGGACGCCCTCGTTCCACGTGTCCTTGGGGACGAAATTTAAAAAGAAATTTGGCAGGACAAAAACAAATTGCTCTTCCAATTGGACTCCCAGTCAAATATCCAGTGGATAAGATGGGTAGCAACTGAACCCAACTGGCAGCGTCTTTTCTTTTTTTTTCTTTTTTTTTTTGTTGTTGTTGTTGTTGTTGGAATAAACATCTATGTTGGGGGGTAGAGGAAATGCTGGTAAGAGCAGACACTACCTCTACCCCCCTAGATGGATAGATGGCTCCGTTCCATTGGTGGGGAGCTGCACCTGCTGGAAACTGAGTCCAGCGTCCCTTTACATTATCAATAGTACCCCTGTGATACGCAACCGCACGCCCCCTCGCAGCTTCCCGTACGGGGTCGCCGATCAGAGTTCTAGGAGGGGCGTGGACGAGGATTTTTGGCCGTAAGGGTTGAGTCTCCCGGACGGAACGGGACGCCCTCATTTTGTGCCAGAGGTTTTCCCCGGAGTCGAACTGTCGTCGCGGAGTCCCGTGGGGGTCGGATCACTCCGAAACGATAAACTCAAAAAAAAAAAAAAAAGGTTTCCGCAAAAATGGACTGCCGTCATGCATCGGGACGGAAAAAGGCATCAAGGGGAG